GCCTACCTAACAGCTGCAAGTGAATGCACGCGGAATTTGATAAAAAGGTGGCAACTGTCAGATCTCAAAAGAAAAAGAATGAAAACAAAAAAAGGAATTCGGCGAAAGACGATGCCATTTTTGATAACTGGAAATAATATCGCGTCAGGGATTTACCGAATGAAATTCAGTTAAAAATGTGAGGCAAAGGTGTAACTGTTGGCGTGTGATCTCGAAGCAATTGGCTTATCCTTGTTTTACTGGTCTGGTGCGTTTGTTGAGCGCCATTTCAAACTTGTTCACAGGGATAGATAGTGCTCCCTGCCGCAACTACTTATCCACTGTCGAATTTGTATTGCTAATCTATTTTTATTGCTTTAGGATGACACAGGCCACAAGAAAACTGAATTCAAGCCCATTCCTTCCAGACAAAAAGCTTTCCTAAAGGGTCAATTCGACCAGTAAAAGACGCTCAGGTGACAGTGTACTCTACCGAAATGCCAAAGCAAGAGGCAGATAGTTTTGTCTAACTTAGAAGTGTCAAAAACCAGAAAACGTTACGAGTCTCCAAGTCCACTGAAACACAGACGCGCAGACGCTGAAATCAGGCCAGACTAAAAGCGGTTTTGTGGAGAATGAGATGCAGTTGGGATTATTTACCAGCAAGGTTGATGAATCATCGTGGAGAGCCGTCACATCTGTTGGGAAAACCTACATCCCCCCACCCAAAACCCCACATTCGTTTTACAAAAACTTCGTCAATTTTGTGTCGCACGGGAGAATCTCAAGTAGTGTGTGGGCCTTGGTCAGCTGTCAAAATTGGAAAATACCCATATTTGTCAGGGTTCAATTGAGGAATTTGGATCTGAAACAGCCTAAGTCGTCAACATAGTGACATTTTCGTCGTGGCTGGGACCGAACGCAATCACGCATTCGTGTAGTTTAGGACAAAATGCGCACGTTCACCTCAATCCACGGATTAGACTGGATGTGCAAAAAAGAGCTTTGAGAAGCACGCACCGTCACAGAGGAATGTAGGCTCGCCTCCGTTGGAGGTGGAATCTGCGGGATTGTAGTAGGGACAGAGGGTCTCAACCCGGATGCACCAGGTGACGCAGGCGGGAACTCGTTCCAGGCGGAATGTTGCGGCCGCTTTTAATCGCGGCGGCGGCGGTGTCCGGTAGAGTTTGGTGTCCGTGGAGTTTGGAAATCGGTGCGGTGGCGTGGTGGTGGTGATTGAGCTCGGAGCGGAGGAGGTGGTGTTGGCGGTCGAGGCGTGTCGGGGCGACACCTTGTCCTCGTCTTGAAGAAGCGGAAGAGTTGCGAGGGGGTAGAAGATTGGAAAGGTTGTTGTGCACACCCACGAGCGGTAGGCTTTCTGGTTAACACAAAACAAACTCGAGATAGCAGTTGAGCCATCAAGTTGCAGTTAAATTTTGAGAAAAATTTAGATAGAGCTGCTCTTTGTATTACCGACAATGGTCGAGATAGTCCAATTATACCACATTTTATGGAAAAAACGAGTCACGCTGGCACGATAAATGAGTTACATTGCTACTTAGGGAATGGCAAGCATTTGCGGTCGAAATTGCGCATTGCGTTAGCGCGAGTGAATTTTGCTTGGCAAAACACACGATACACGTGCCTCGATCTACAACCTGCGCTGGAATTCACTCAGATTTAAAATACGACCTTTTAAATACCTAGAGAAGTTACCAGTTGGAGGCGAGGTTAAAACGGAAAAACAAATTTATCCTGTCAAACCGATAAAGACCTCGACATTGGGCGAAATCGAGGTAGGGAGAAAACAGCGGTAGTTTGTACCGGCTGATGCTTTATTTATCGCATTGTTGTCGACGTAAACAACAGTTTTGTTGGACAGTCCCAAGACAATGCGATGCAGAGGGGGGGGAAATGAGCATTATCTTGAGAGATAATATTGACAGCAGTTTGGGGTTTTCGTGGCCATCACAACCTTGTTTGTTCGAGGTGGAGCAAGGATTTACGAGCGCGAAGCGAGAGTAGAAATGACCAGCGTGCCACAAGGCGAGTGTGTGCGAGCACTAGAACAACACGCACAGATTCTAGACAGAAATATGCAGGCTGTAATTAATCAACAGACAATTTGACATTGCAACAGGATGGAATGCCTTAACTAAACATTCACTGAACATTGCAAAACGTCGAATAGGAAAATTCGTGAGGTTCAGTCGCAGGATATACAAACTAAAAAGGCCTTTCAATGGTCAAGCACCCACTCATTTAAAAGCGTCTTCATTTTACACGGGGTAGAGATTGTGTTAGTGCATAACTGAGACGACAAACACTTGGAGGGGTCAATCAGCCAGAGAAATAGACTTGAGCAAATTCGGTCTCTCCTCCGTTAGGGCAGGAAGATTGTGAGGGAGTAACAAGTCAACCACTGGGTTGGGGTGGTTCTATCAAGAAGGTCGTGGTTACAAGCCTCGTCGGATTCATTGTATGGGAACACAGTTCCTACAATTTTAAGACCTGAATGCTAACAGACAACAGTCGTTTCCGGTAATCAAATCAGCTGACTTCCTCGATGCCTATACTGGATGTTGGATCAGAATTGGGACCAGAAGCTTCTGGCTGCCTTCACCAAGCACCTCAGGTGAACCAATGAAAAAGAGAGCGAATGAAGCGGTTTAATCTAAGTTGTGAGGTGTCGTGTGTGAGTGGGGAATATGTGAATCTGGCAGCCAAATTCTCTAAAGTTGGTTGCTTCATCGTCTTCTACTTTTACAAAGATAATAACATCAATCTTATTAAATTCTTCCAATTAAACTCACGAGGCTAGAGTTTGTTGGAAGTTATGATGTACTTTGGAAACGCAGCTACAGTGTCGATGACCTCAAAGCTGACCCCAAGCACGCACATAAGGCGATATGCACGCATAGGAGTCATAAATGCCAGGCTTCGATAGCCGTCAAGTGGGACTTAAAAGTTGCAGCTCTGGAATTGTCGACACTACATGAACCGTTCCCGAAACGGGAAGTGATCTGACTTGACGCCCGTGGGCGCTTCTGAGTCAAGACAAAGTTGGGTGTTAGGTGGGCATTTGGGTTTATCGTTTTATCACTGAATTCTGAAATATGCAGTAGAACCCTCTCAGACAATCGTAGCAGAAAACCACCAAATTTTGTGAGTAAAAAAAGGATTACAACGGGGACAATGGTGGCAGGAGTTTTGCCATAACGCCGAAAGTTCATGAAAGACACCAAATATTAACAACATGAGTACGTTTATGGTAAAACTGATGTTCCAGAAACGATACATTGCGTCTGCATATTGATTGTCTCAAGAAATAGTGCCCATGCTTCGATTTTACCCTGTCTATTGATGAAAATCTCCGAGGCTGACAGTTGAAAATCCCTTTTTTTCGGCACGTCGTGCGGAGACCTTTGCTGTCGCAGCCAAAAGCGGAGCGAAACCGGAAGTGAAGTGGACGCTCAGATGCGCCCACCCATATGTGCCTGAGCGATCTGAGTTGGGTAATTAACACCAAGTGATGAGTCGTTAATGTGAAGAACAATGTCGTGTGACTGTAGAGTAGTAAATGTGTGGGCAGAGTTGAGTGAATATACGTCACAAATCAGTTTAGCCGTCTTGGGGAATGTTGACATCTCGAGCAGTCGTTGAGAGCTCACAAGAGCACATCCATCAGAGCAGGAATGCTGCTTACCTCTCCGTTGAGATTAAAATCAACACGCGCTGCTTAGCGGACAAAGTGGACTGGAATTGGCGACGTGCCTGCTACTGAGTGCGAGATATAATTTGAGCAATCAGACCTGACAAAACAGCCAACGTCCCAGTTTTTACCGTGTACGTGATGAAATATTCAGCTCTGAAGAAGGAGGAGGAGAAGGAGTCTTACTGAAACGAAAAAAGCCATACAAACGCACATTGAAGAACTCTGACGTTTGGACGTGACCTTCATCTGTTGGCAACTTTTACGCGACCCCGGCTTTGGTGTCATTTTAAAAGACTTCGATCATGCAGCTTAGTCACCCACACCTGCAAAGTTTGTTCAAAAACGACCGACAATTTGATCAAAGCCTTCGAAAACAATAAAGGAGATTGCTAAATTGTAGATAGGCAAATGTGTATCAAGAAAAACCCAAGACGAGAGGAGACAGCTTCGGAGTGGGATATCATGGAAGCTATGTCAGACGAACACGATCTTTAACAATACACCCAATGTGCTGCTGCAAGCAGCGGAAAGGGTGTTTGTGCGTAACCATAGAACGCCTCACTCACAGTAGCATTAAACCCCACTCAAGGCAGGTGTTTTATGGCCGCGTGGCTCTAGCCAAGTCAATAAATACGCCAACTTTATTCGTACACGATTAAATTCTGCAATGCCTGAGAAGCAAACAAGCTAGTCGGATGTACTCACGCAAGCAGCCGACAGCAGTTCGATTAATTAGCTGGAACTGAATTTGATCCACGGCTTTGGTGAAGGGACACCTTACAGACACCCACCACAAGGTTGCTGGGGCGGCCATTGTTTACACATTTCTCCGTAATCACGCTCTTTCAGCAGGTCACCCACCCACAACATCCTTCCTGATCCTTCGGGTCAAGGTCACGCATGGCCTACATTCTGAAACCTGTACTGTGATAGTGGGGCTTGCATTAGACAAGGGATTTGGGTAGTGGATTTCTAAGCTCGTGTTTTTCGTTACGGTCAAAAACTAATACAGGGTGGATTGGTTGAGAAAGAGAACCAATGAAAATTTAGCAGGAAACTAGAAATCACAATTTCTAACTAGAATCGGTATATAAACCTCTAGTGGCAGTACAATGGATCAGCCTGCTTCGGCAATCATTCATTTAGCCGAAAAAAAGTGCAGAACTGGATAATCCGGCGACACGCTTACGCTTTAACTCGCACTCCCGCCCCTTCATTTTGTCAGCAATCCGCGATTTTGTCGGGAGCCATGAAAGAGAACGCAGATTAAAACAAAGGCCCAACGACTGAGGCTTTGTAGTTTGCTCGGCAAGAGAATGCCTTGTGTATATTAACTCCAGAGAGTAAACAAACGGCCAATTGCAAAACATCTAGCGAGTGCTAAAACCCACTTCAAACGGGCTGCACGCTCACGCGGCGAGAAGATTGCGGAAGTCATCCGAAAGCACCCGAATCGCTCAACAAAGGTTCAACATCGCAACCAGTGTTGGTATAGCTTCACCAGGATAGACGATGCTGTTTACTCACGCTGCCACGGATATCGTGTAAAGCAGACGAACCCAAAACAGCTGGCAATGCACATGTTTCAAGCTTGTAGGCTGCATCCAACTGCCGAGGTTCTAAAAACGCGTACCGCGGGATTGTTTTTGTGAAATTACACTCACGTTTGGTGTTTGCACGACACACAACTGGCAATGCGGAGATGCAAATGCCGATTCCAACGTGCTCCAGTGCTGAGCTAACCACAGGGACGCTTTATCAGCCAATAAGATGACAGGAATCGCGGGATTGGAGAGCATTCAGCGACCGAATACCACGGTGCAAAGTATTACAAAGACGAAGAAAGACTGTACTAAAAAGGCTTTGAAATAGGCAACCACTGTTTTCACCATACACGAGAACGCGAAATGAGGATGACGGAGGTACATGGTCAAGCGGGTACTTTGTGTCTAATCGAGTCGCACGTCCCAATAAGTCAGCTGTTTGAATGATTTTTCGAGTCCATAACAGAGCCTTGAAACGTGAGTTTTTAACCAATGAACTCCATGCCAGTTTAAACAAGACACATAGAGAAATGAGTTCCACAAAGCAACCCCCTTACGAATTGCAATCTTCTAACTTAATGCCAAGTGTCTGCGAGCGTTGCATTACCGACCAGAAGCAGACGAGTTATAAGGGAGCGGTAATTTTCAAGCACAGGGGAATGAGCAGCAGGAATTGTCATGCTACACCAAAGCGCTGTAGTGAGTTGTATCAACTCACAGGGACATTTGTTCTGTCAACACATTCACCCTGATACAGTCGAGTTAAGCTAGATGGCAAATGGTTGGGTTTTCGTCTCAACCTCCTCAAGCGTTTCGTATCGATGTGGCCGGTTACCGCGACACACGGGGTCCCTAGAACGACCGGACAAACGTCACAACATTAGAACTTCCGCTGTGGGGACAGATTTGTCGAAATTGTGCCTACCATCCTGAATTCGCAACAGATTTCAGACGAGATCACATTCCGGGGTCCGTTTGTGCTGAACTGATACACAGGGATACCAAGAAGACCAGTGATGGCGTGAACGAAACCGTTTGCTCGATACCTCGACCTGGTTTTGGCGATGTCGTATACATGCACTCAAAAGTAGCGCATGTCTATAGTGGTTGCTGACTCAAACAGTCTATTTGAACTTGCACAATTAGTTGAAACGCCAGGTGAGTAGTGGAAAACGTGGGCTGTGTATTGGAGAATGCGACGACCGAGTTGATAGTCGTGAATCAACACGATTCACTACGCAAGTATGGTTTTTGTTCTGCTTACAAATCAGCAATTTTTAACTGTCAGGTGAAAGTGCGACGAACGACTAGAGAAGAAGCAGAACAACTGCATTCGAAGAGGCTCTACAATCGGTAAGAAGGTGATATTTGATATCTGAAACGCTCCTTCATCGACGCACGGAACACTTGCTTCATCTAACGGCAATGCATATTGCAGGCAGCATCAATCTCAAACAATACGCTAATAAACGGTCGCATCCACTGTCGCCGTCTTGTCTCCCTTCTCAAGATTTTGAGGACTGTTAACTAGAGGGTTGTAAGGTAGTTATAACTAAGCCACAAATCCCCATGGTCCGGCTCTCCACCCCTCGCGACCAATCGCGTAGCTCCGTCATACCTGCGATTGACCTTCCAGCTACCTGACTCGTCAGCGTCAATTGGCCTCGGCAATCTCCGGACAATGACCTCTGGCTATGATCATCACTCGACAATTAAGCGATTGGCCTCTAGTCGATGCACGAAGAGATTTCCCGATTAGATTCTCCAAGGTGAAGAGCTGTAGTGAGTCATGTTCTGCATCTATTTACATCTCAGTGGACATTCAATTAACGTGAACGACGTCCATCATGAAGCTTCAACATCTCTTCTCGATCGGTCAGTCTTGCTCCCCCTCACTTCTATACCTCTAACTTTCGTTCTTCACTAGGTAATCCGTGTCGTTACACGCCACAACACGTTCTCAATGTACACCTTCACAGAAAACTACATGTTCCACTCCTGTATGTGCCCAAGATGAGACTTATTCAGACAATCTAATGGTCTCCATTTCGACGAAACTAAGGCAGAATAGTTGTAGGTATTGAGAATTCAGCAACTTGTTTAAGGTGGCGTGGAACATTAAAATTGAGCCGCAGTAATCAGAACCCTAAAGATGAGAGATGGGTGGGGACTAGAACCGTTCAATTTTAGTACCGCAGGGGTGTGCGTGGGGCAGTCGTGAGTGGGGCTCTCGTTAACTCTGCAAATTGTCAAATCTGATCACCTGAAGGCTTGACAACCGATGCAGACGAACACATGCGAGGGGAATTTCAGCTGAGTAATGTCCTAACGCAACTTGCCTCACATTATCACCGTATCCTATTCGTTGATAGAATAACTCAACGGGTTTGCAGAGAATACAAAAATTCTCATCAGGTACGCGATGGAAATTCCTGCTCTACCGCACATCTACAAGCAATTTATCAGGCATCTCTACGTTACAGTGTAGTTGTGGCATAACCGACTCCAAGTTTTGAGTTAAAGGGATCGGAGTGGCGGCAGCCAATCACCGCAGCCTGAGGTGTGATTCACCGGACTGCGGTTCTGTAGTACAGATGGGGGGCACAACAGAGGATGCGGGGTTCGGCCTAATCCAAAATTTCAGCGCATGCGATAACCGCGACCTCACGTCATGAGGACAAGTATTCTCACTAAATCTGGCCTAAAAAAGCCGGCATTGCAATTATTGGGGGGAAGGGAGCGGCACAAGGCGGGGTGAGCGAAAGTTTGGAAAGGAAACTGTGACACCTACACGATTGCGCACGTGCAAGTGTGTGCATTCCTCCCCGTCCACCCCCCCCCTCCACCTTGCGCACTCGTCCCCAAGATAATGACGCGGGAGATCACGCGAGCAGGCGTAAACGGACACGCGCGCGCACTCACAAAAAATCGATGCGTGCGCATGCACACACGCACGCACGCCAACTAAGCCGCAGACGCGTAGGGGATGAAGATTTACACGGGATATCGCTATCACACACACACCAAACCATCAAGTATTAAGTAAGAAATCGCGTTTTTTTACTACAAAGCCAACAAAGATGAACTCGAGTGGGTGTTAATCATTCTAAAAATCGACAACTCTCAATTGGACAGGTAGCATGGGAGTACGCACCCTACCCCACCTTAGAGGCAGTTACCCAGCCCTACAAATAACCCAATGTGCTGACTGTAGAAATGTAGGGGAAACAACGTTATATAGACTTGGATTCACTGAAAAAAAGTTCCTAAAATTCGTTTGCTCAAACACTCGACAACAACGCAACTCATCCAGCATCCAGACACGAGGTACCTAAACCAAGTCTACAGCCGCGGTCGACCTCCAGAAAACTATAAAAAAAGATGAAATCCACAGACGGTCAGCTTGCTGCCGTGGTTTCGCTCACCGCGAGAGCCAAGATTTTAAAGCACGACACGATCTACGCATGTAATTCGTCAGTCCCAAGGACGTCTGTAAAGCTCAGGTTTATGACGGAGGTGAAGCGATTAAAAGCGCCCGCTCTGACCCCAACACAGCTCCCTGCGCTTTTCAAACACTCAATCCGAATCGATTAAATCGACCCGATTTGCTGATCCCTACAACTAGTTTTTTACAACAAACTATCTAATAGCCGAAAATCTCTGCCGGTTTAGGGTAGCCCCGCTACGACAAGTAGAATCAAACCAACTAACGGGATTATCATTAAGGGCATTAGACAAGTTTTAGAATCACACCGTCGCTAGGCGGCAACGAGGGAATCCCCAAGAGAAAAGAGCAGAGAGGCGGATGTTACTCTGCGTTTAGGTATAATCATTTTTTCAAGCTTCTAGGGCGCGTACGAAAACTGCGGATCTGCGCAACCAAATGTTTCTTCTCGCTCGCTTGCCCTCTCTCTCTCTCTCTCACTCTTGCTCTCTCCTTCCTCCGCCTCACGCACATTTTTTACAAACCCGCGTCGGCCAATAAAACTGCGCAGTTCGCACTGCCTTCCCTGCATTTCTGCCACCTCATTGGTCAACCGCGGGTGAATGCAAGATGCTATCCTCAGAGCGCTAATGATAAGACCAAATTAACTCCA